GGGGGCAGGGGGGGCAGGGGGAAGCCTAAGCAGCCCCTTGCAGGCTGGAACTCTGACAACCTGAAAGGGAAAAAACACAGTTTCCCACATTTTTCTCCTTTAAAAGAGAATCCATTTTTAAAGTTTGTTCATGACCCTTTCATATATTCTTGTGACCCACTTTTGGGTTGTGACCCATGGATTGGTAAACACTGGCTTAGACAAGCCAGACATTTTCACCTTCAGAGAGAACTTTGTGGGTGGTATGAGTGACTGGTGCCTCCTGAATCAAGCAAATTGTCTTGTTGGGCACATCCAGACCCATCTGCAATGCAACAAATGCACACTCAGGCATTCACTGCACTGTTACTTTGCCATTTCTTCACCAGCCTAATTCTTCACCAGCCTAATTCTTCACCAGCCTCTTTGTGGTGGTGAAAAAATAGGAAAAAACCTGCACCTAAAAAAAGGGGAGTCAGCTCACATGGTGGCAGTACATGCTGCCCAAAACCAGAACCTGTGCAGTCAGAGCCATGCTCCAGCTGCTGACCAGGCTTGCTGTTGCAGGATTGCTGTGGCTGCAGCTCTCGGAGGCCTCAAGGACCATAGGTAAGGCTGCTGGGCATTCCCTACCCCACCCAGGGCAACATGCTGCACACCAGAGTGTGCATGGCATGAGTGTTCCCTGGGGACAAGTAGCAGCGGCACACATTGTGCAACTGCTGTTGGTCCCCAGGGAAACACATTCCCATTCATGGGGATGTGCCCCTGTTGTTTGCTAACTAACTCCTAAGTCCAGACAGGACTCTGGCCATCCTTTGCAAATAAACAATGCTGCATCAGAGAAATAACTGACTCTTATCATCTTCCTATTGGGAGCAATTTACCAGATCCTGAGCGCGTCTGCACTTGCGCCCAGAGCCAACCCAAGCAGGGTGCAGGGCCCAGGGCAAATCAGCCCGTGTGGGACCCTGCCCCCACCCCAATCCTGCATACCCCGGACCCAAAGAAGCTGCTGCTGCCATTGGCAGTGGTAGCTGCAGCAGGGAGGAGGAGGGAGGGAGCAAGCGACCAGATGCAAAGCTGGCGGTGCACAGTCACTACGGCCACTCCATCTGGCTCTGTGGGGCCCCCCAAAGTGCAGGGCCCAGGGCGGTCACCCCAATTCACCCCCCACAGGGATGGCCCTACCTGTGTCCGACTGTGCAGTTGTCACTGAACAGTCATTTAGTACTTGTTTTAGCAACAGCTAAACAGCAACAGTAACAGCTGTTACTGCGCAGTCCCAGCAGTGCACAGGTTGATTCTGACCCTACTGCGTAGTAGCTCATTGCTACTGTGCAGTAGCATCGGCACAACAGTTTGTGCTCACTGATGCTACAGCAATGTAGTGTCTTGTGTAGACATGCCTCATGAATTCTGGCTAACTGCTTTTCAGGTACAATAATACTGTCCTTGAGGCCTCACTAACCAGATCTCAGAGAAGAATTTTGTTCAGGGTGTAAAATAGTCTTTTATTCCGTTTCCCACAAATCTCTACTTGGTACAACTCCCTTCAAATGAAACACCCCATTTATTTTGCAGTGGGAAGATCTTCAGCGGAGAGTTATTTGTCAGAAATGATTACAATAAATGCTGTATTTTGACTGTTAACCCTCTTCAGTCACTGTACAAATCAGACTTGAACTCGTATCTATAGAGGTGAGGATCAATGGACTTTTTAACTGAGATGTAAAAACGACCCGTAATAATATTGCTATAATCAGTCTTTTTTACAAATGGATCCAGCCATCCCATTTTATCAGCCAATTCCCTTTGCATCTCATACCATCATACAGATTTTTTTAGATTTTTTTTTTTAGCAAGGTTGAGTTGGTCAAACAAAACTTTTTTGTCAGGTTTTAGTCTCTCGTGGGTTAACACAGTATTTGCTGTATAATTTTCCTCAGTACTTTGAATAAATACAACCTGAATTCAAACAGAACAATACTCTCTGAATTGCATTTAATGGTGTTATCTGTAGCAAAATATATTTCAAATCTTGTCATTTGTAGTATTGGTCGTATTTTATTAACTATAATTAAAACAACTGGGCATAAATAAAAGTTTTGTCAGAACTAAAGCTTAATACTCCCTTTATTCCATATTAGTAATAAACTAGTTGACTTGCATTCCTGTGATCTTTTCTATAATTAGGTTATATTTTTTTTTTTTATAAATGAAGGACTGTCAGTTCTTTTAATCAAATATACCCTACATGCTTGATATGCATGTTATAATCTGAACAGCAATATGTTAAGCTGTATATTAAAGAAAAGACGCAGGAATATAAAGTGAGACCCATGTGAAACTTGGCCATGTTCATATTTGAATTTTGTGATGTTTTATGGTATCTTCTGACCTTGAAAAGACAGATAGAAGGGAAGAAACACATGTTGTTAACTGTTAATATTGAAATGGATCTAGTTAAAAGGTCCGTGTCTCTCTGAGTTGAATATGATGGTTAATATTAGTTTTTTTATATTTGGTTGATTTTTAATATGATAGAAGAATGTATTTATATTTTCACTCTTCCTAATTTCAAAACTGTTTGAAGGGATCTCTTTCAAACTTTCCAAGAAATAAATTTCCTTTACACAGAGACCAAGCAGAAAAACTGTTAAGTCTAAAAAAGTGAAAGTTTGGGAAAGATGTAAATTTCTGTTACTTTAAATATAGTTACCCACAGCCAGTGCCTCTTAACTAAATCAAGGAATACTACAGATGAAAAGTTAATTATTGACTGTACACTGTTACCTATATGACCTACCTAGTTCGATCAATAAAATTATTCTGCTTTACACTTAGCTGAATTGAAGCAGATTCACTGTCTGCAGTATGCCTGTAGTTGGCATAAGAAAAGTTTTCTTTTAAACACCACTGTAGAAGATAAAATATATTTTTACTGTGATAGTTCCAAACAAAGTTGTAAACCATATCATGAAAACAGCTACAAATTAATAAAAGGTCCCCAATTAAGTTTACAGTTTGTCACTGATATTCATCTCTGTGTAGAGAACCAGTAACATTCAAGTCTTCAAAATGGGAACTAAATGGAACTTGATAAACTACAACCTCTTTGAGCACATTAGAGCCTCACATATTGGCTACTCAGTTGGGATGACTGAATGAATCCCATAACACAAATGACAAAATGGGCATTAAACCCACATATACCCTGCTACCACCATAAACACTACTGGGATTGCAGTTGGACAGAGCACCATGGCTATAAGCAAATAATTGCAAAGTCTAATGGATCAACATGATCCCTATTGTGTAATACTGACAAGATTAACAGCCAGAAAGCAACTGCCTCCCAAATGAGTGAAACACCAGCAAGGAGGTATTTCCATCTAGATACAACATTGAAAAATATCACAGCTCACTTGCAAGATATTTATGAGAGTCCTTGGTTTTAGAAATCACAAGACACCATCTGCAAAATTTAGCTAGGTAATACATAGTTAAATGTGAACATCTTGACACTCAGCTAAGTGATTACTCCAGAATTATTATTGGCTGTATTTTCAACACTGTCATTGAAAGTCGAGTACTGTGATATTAGGAAGGTCAGAGAAGAGAGTTACAAATATATTAGAAAGAAAACAAACATCCATAAACATCATCAGGTGGTCTCAGAACAAATATTAGTAAAACAAATTGCTTGGGTCATTTACCTTCTCTCCTAGGTAAGACTGTGGTGCTATCCAGTACAAACGGTGCACAGAAGGAGGTAACTCTTGAACGTCAGCTACTACACTATTGCTGCCTGGATTGAAAGTTACCGGAACGTCAATTTTATTATCCATTGTCTCCAAGCGCCAGTTCCTCATGTCAGAAAACTAATAAAAAAACAAATGTGGGAACTGAAATTTGTTTGTTTATTGCAACTTTTCTTATGTTGATGCACAGAGTTATTTACAGGACACAAGGTATTGATTCAATGATTCACTGAGGGTAAAATTCATCCATGTACATATGACTAGAGCAAAGCCATGTACAACTCATATCCCATTTAAAAAGCCTCAAAACAGGGTGTAAGTGGGACAGAAGTGAAGTCCCATCAAAGCATCACCCAAGCATCATGAAATATTAGGACTTAAGATCTTCCTTTAGAAAATTATTCTCCTGTTTGCTGTTACTAAAATATTTCCTGTAACATTCAATAAATATTACCCTGTGTAATTTTAGGTAGTTGAAATGTTTCCTGTTCACTACCACTTAAGTGTATTAACATTACACCCCTCCTCCCTCCCTTTATCATGTTTTGCCTATGGAAAAGAAAACAGAGGAGGCTTTTTTCATGGAGAACTCAAGTTGAGTATGAGCATAGGACTCTTTTAAACATTTTCTAGGGTTAAAATACAACCGTAATGCATGTTCTCCACAAACCAGATATAAAAAAGAGCTCCTTCATAAATGTACTGTAACTGGTCATCTGACATCAACAGTGCCTTTGGTGGTTATAGCCAGAGGGCCAGTTCCACTTCTGCTCCATCTAGTTACCTGGAAATTAACAGCTGAAAAAGGCCATTTCATATTTTTTTAGGTGTCTTAAAGCCATCAAGGCTAGCAACAGACATTCAAAAAGCCTGAGTCTGAATTGATTCAACTTTTGCAGGTTAGTCTAATCTGGCTAGGCTAAACTGGTTTGTAATCATATAGGTATTCTCTCTGGACTGAGGAAATTCAGGCATATGCCTGCAGTGGCTCAGGCTAGAAGCCAGGAGGCGCTAGAGCAGCTCTCCATTTCTTTACCAAGTACTGAGTTGAGGGGGAACATGGCCAGCCCAGGCAGGACCTCTGATTAGGGAGGTCTACCTGCACCATCTCAGGCTTTTTCCTGCTGGCTGCTCAAGGGTTGGGAGTGTTGCCAGACAGCAGCCCCGGCCTAGTACACTGAGGCAAGCAGGATGCGAACAGTGCATGCATCTGTTGATGATATGGAGCTTTTTAATCTTCCTTCCTGCTTCTTTATAGTATCTGCAGCAAACTGACAGGCAAGCAAGCCAGCAAGGGGCTGATAACAGTGTTTATCACCCCATCAGCAAAATAATAGCCTCTCTCCATTAGTTCAAGCGCTTCTTAAACAGCTTTTTCCAGGAAAGGAATTACCAGCTGACCTGTTAATTAGCTCCACAAACCCTTAAGCAAACACTGTTCTGTCTGGCTGTCCCAGTGAAATTGGAGACACAGACACCTCTCAGCATTAGCTAGGGGCCGTAGGGCTGAGGTCCATGCTGTGGAAGATGGGAGGGAGGGAGGAGGAGGTCACTACATGAGCAAGAAG